AAAAATAGAAAAAATTAGCAGGCCAACTAATAGTAGAAACAAAAAATTAGCCAGACATTTTGGTGAGCGCCTGTAGTTCCAACTACTCAGGGAGACTGAGGCAGGAGGATCGTTGGAGCCCAGGAGTTTGAGGTTGCTCTGAGCTAGGTTGATGCCATGACACTATAGCCCAGGCAGCAGAGTGAGACTCTGTCACACACACACAAAAAGAATCAGTGAATTTTAAAGATAAGTCAGTTGAGATAATCCAATCTGAAGAAGAGAAAGAAAAAAATAAACAAAATGAACAGAGCTCTAAAGGCCTGTGGAACACTATCAAGCATATAAACATGCACAAAATGGGAATCCCAGAAGGAGAGGGGAGAGAGAAAAGAAGGTGCAAGAAAGAATATTTGAAGGAAAAATGGCTAAAAACTCCTCAAATTTCATGAAAAACATTAACCTATGCATTCAAGAAGCTCATTAAATTCTAAGTAGGATGAATTCAAAGAGATATGAGAGACAAAGACAAAGAGAGAATCTTGGAAGATGTAAGAGAGAAGTGACTCATCATGTACAAGAGATCCTCAATAAGATTGGCAGCTGATTTCTCATTAAAAACCCCAACGTCAAAAGGCAGTAGGACAACATAGTCAAAAGGCTGAAAGAAAAGGACTGTCAACCATGAATTCTACAGCCAGCAAAATTATCTTTCAAAAATAAAGAAGAAATTAAGATATTCACAGATAAATAAAAACTGAGATAATTCATCACTAACATGCTTCTCCTACAAGAAATACTAAAGGGAGTCCTTCAGGCTGAAATGAAATGACACTAGACAGTAACTCAAATCTACATGAAGAAATAAAGAGCACCTGTAAACATAACTACATAAATAAATGTAAAAGACAGTATAAATGCATTTTAAAATTTATAGCATTTTTTCCTCCTATCTGAATCAAAAGACAACTGCATAAAGCAATAACTATAAGTCTATGTTCATGGACACACAATGTGTTTTTTTTGTTGTTGTTGTTGTTGTTGTTTTTTTTTTTTGAGACAGAGTCTCACTCTGTGGCCTGGGCTAGAATGCCATGTTGTCAGCTTAGCTCACAGCAACCTCAAACTCCTGGGCTCAAGCAATCCTGCTGCCTCAGCCTCCCAAGTAGCTGGGACTACAGGCATGCGCCACCATGCCCAGCTAATTTTTTCTATATATTTTTAGTCGGCCAATTAATTTCTTTCTATTTTATAGGAGAGTCGGGGTCTCACTCTTGCTCAGGCTGGTTTTGAACTCCTGACCTTGAGCGATCCGCCCGCCTCGGCTGCCCATAGTGCTAGGATTACAAGCGTGAGCCACCATGCCCAGCCGATGCACTTCTAAATAACCAATGGGTCAATGAAGAAATCACAAGGGAAATTAGCAGATACTTTGAGATGAATGAAAATGAAAACACAACAGACCAAAATTTAAGGGATGCAGCTAAAATTGTCCTTGGTGGGAAATTCATAATTGTAAATATCTGTATGTAAAATGAAGAAAGATATGAAAATCAATAACCTAATCTTTCATCTTGAGAAATTAGAAAAAGAACAGCAAACTAAGGCCAAAGCAAGCAGAAAGAAAGAAGTAATAAAGAGTAGAGTGTAAGTAAATAACATGGAGAATAGAAACACAACAGAGAAACTAATGAAACAAAAATTGGTTTGTTCAAAAGATCAACAACATTGACAAACCTTTAGACTAAGAAAGAATGACAGAAAACTCTAATTACTAAAATCAGGAATGAAAGAGGAGACATTACTACTGACCTTACAGAAATAAAAAGGATTATAAGAGAGTACTATGAACAATTGTATGCCAATAAATTAGAAAACCCATACAAAATGGACAAATTCCTAGAAAGACACAAACTACCAAAACTGACTCAAGAAGAAATGGAAAATCTGCATAGACCTATAACAAGTGAAGAGATCGAATTAGGAATAACAATAAAAAAAAACTCTTACAAAGAAATGCCCAGGACCAGATGTCTTCACTGATGAATTCACGTTCAAAAGATTTAACACCAATGTTTAAAAAGATTTAATGTTCAAAAAGATTAAACACCAATCTTCACAAAATCTTCCCAGAAATACAAGAGGAGGAAACGCTGTCCAACTCATTCTATGAGACCAGTACTACCCTGATACCCAAACCAAAGACATAAGAAACTACAGACCCATGTCCCTTATGAATATAGATATAATAGTCCTCAAAAAATACTAACAAACCAAATCCCACAACATATAAAAAAGATTTACACCATGACCAAGTGAAATTTAGCCCAAGAATGAAAGTTGCACTGGGTCCAGTTGCTCACGCCTGCACTCCTAGCGCTTTGGGAGGCTGAGGCAGGAGGATTGCTTGAGGTCAGGAGTTCGAGACCAGCCTGAGCAAAATCGAGAGCCCGTCTCTACAAAAAATAAAAAAATTAGCCAGGCATGGTGGTGCATGCCTGTAGTCCCAGCTATTTGGGAGGCTGAGGCAGGAGGATAGCTTGAACCCAGGAGTTTGAGGTTGCAGTGAGCTATGATGATGCCACTGCATTGTAGCCTAGGTGACCGAGCAAAACCCTGTCTCATAAAAAAAGAATGCAGGTGTCTACACCTAGACGTACCGTAAACAAACTTATGAACTTATCAACTTGCATAAAACTCAATTAATGTAATGTAATTAATGTAATAATGTAAACTCAATGTCATTATACAATTATATACGTTAAATAAAAATTAATGTAATACAATTAATGTAATGTAATTAATGTATTCTATATTCGTAGAATAAAGCACAAAACCCACATGATCATGTCAATAAACACAAAAGCAGCATTTGACAACATCTAACATCCTTTCATGATAAAAACACTCAACTAACTAGGAATAGAAGGAGGACTTCATCAACACTTAGGTAGAAGTTAATATATGCTAGATGCATCGTTCTAACCACTTTACATTTATTAAGTAACCTCATTGTTACACTAGTTCTATGGAAGTATGTACAGAGTGTTTAGTAACTTTTCCTATGTTAGGCAGCTAATAAGTCGTGGGGCTAGGATTACTATACAGAAATTCTGGCTACAGAGTCCATGCTCTTACTCACATTCTGCTCTACTGTCTCTCCAAGAATGTGGGATAAAAATAATGATAAACAAATTGGGTTTCCTTAGAACTAATGATTCAATCTTTATCTGTAAGTAAACTTAATTCATAATACTGTTAACATATCAGTGACCATAATTTGTAATACTGATGAGAGTTTATAACATTAATATCAATGTTTATTTAATGAAGTTAGTAATATTGGGTTAGTATTGATATTTAATTATAATTTTAGTTACAAAATTGGTGGTTATTTGCATAAATAAACATAATTTGTCATGTTAGTAAAAATTTGCAAAATTAGTTGTAAAATTTGATGGCATTAACAATGACTCAATTCTACTTGTAACTAAATTTCTAATGACTAAATTCTAATTTCTAATAACTAATGTAAACTACTCAATTTCTACTTGTAACTAAAATCTGATTAAAAACTGGTACTCATAATTTATATTAGTAGTCTTAATTTGTATAGTTGGTAATAATTTGCATCTGTAAGAATATTTTATAGTGTTTGTATTAATAGTTTAATTCTTTTAGTAATTATAACTTAATTCACAATGTAGGTACTAATTATTTATACTAGTAAACTTAATTTGTAACACTGGTAATCAATTGTAATATTAGTTGTTACATTTGATGATATTAGTAATAGTTCAATTTCTAAGTATAATATCATTCAAAACAGACACTTACAATTTATATTAGAGCATAATTTGTAATGTCAATAATCATTTGTAAAATATAATCTTTTTTTTTTTTTTTTTTTTTAGACAGAGTCTCGCTTTGTTGCCCAGGCTAGAGTGAGTGCCGTGGCGTCAGCCTAGCTCACAGCAACCTCAAACTCCTGGGCTCGAGTGATCCTTCTGCCTCAGCCTCCCGGGTAGCTGGGACTACAGGCATGCACCACCATGCCCGGCTAATTTTTTATATATATATATCAGTTGGCCAATTAATTTCTTTCTATTTATAGTAGAGACGGGGTCTCACTCTTGCTCAGGCTGGTTTCGAACTCCTGACCTTGAGCAATCCGCCCGCCTCGGCCTCCCAAGAGCTAGGATTACAGGCGTGAGCCACAGCGCCCGGCCTGTAAAATATAATCTTTGATGATACTAGTAATGATTATTTGATTTCTATTAGGAACTATAATTTAATTCATAACAGGTATTCATAATTTACATCAGTAATAATTGCAGTATTGGTGACAATTTGTAATATTAGTGATTATATTTTATGATATAGTAACTAACAATTTAATTTCTATTTGTAAACAATTTATAACATTTCTACTGATAATTTATATTGGCAATCTTAATTTGAAATACAAGTAAGATTTCCTTTTTAAAACAACTTTTTATTTTCTTTGTTTTTGAGACAAGGTCTTGATCTGTTGCCCAGGCTAGAGTGCAGTTGTGTCATTATGGCTCACTGCAGCCTCAAACTCCTGGGCTCAAGCGAGCTTCCTCCTTCAACCTCCCAAGTACTTGGGACTACAGGTGTGTGCCACCATGCCTGGCTAGAAATATGGGTAAAATTTCTAACAGGAGGAATATTTGATACTCTTAGTAACAATTATTTGATTTCTTCTATATGTAATATAATCTGATTCATTATATTAATTCTGTTAATTTAGAAATTGATTTTTAATACTGGCAAAAATAGATAATATGAGCAATAGGATCTGATAAATATTGGGATTGATGATTTAATTCACACTTGTAACTGTAAGGAAATTCATCACAAAGCAACTTCATGCCTCCACGTTCACACAGTGGCTGTGCTCTCCTATATCACACCATTGGTAACACACACATCAGTAATGTTATTGCAGTACTTATAACTCTTTTCCCTCCTTCCCACTCTATTTCCTCCAAACTCACCATTTCTTTGTGATTGGGGTAGAAGGTCTGATCGATTAGAGGGAATTCCTCTGTCCCCAGCTTCTTGTGCAGTCGAACCATCTGGGCAAACTATGAGAACCAGGAGAGACAGGTCCGTTAGTCCTTCACCTGGAAGGAGTCTCTAAGCATCTGGACGTCCTCACTTTCCCCAAATCAGAGTGGTTTCAGGCTCCCACATGCATACACAAGCTATTCCCTATGCCAGTGGCACCCTTTCTGTCACTCACCACCCAGGGCTTGTCACAGAAGTTGTAGACAGAATGTAAGGAGTTAACACTGGGGATTCCAGCATATTGCAGCCCGATGACCAAACTGCGGTAGTCTCCATTGCGCGCCATGCTGAAGGCGTGCTGGCGGATCAGCACGAAGTCTGGCTTCAGAGACCTGGGGTGGCAGGAGTAGGAGTGTTGAAGGTGCCCGCCCCCTGAAGCTCCCTACCACCCTTGGAGCAAAGACCAAGTCTCTAAATATTCAGAGCTCCTAGAAATTGCAAAATGGTTTCTTAACCTCTGTGTACAAGCTCAAGCTGTTCCGTCTGCCTCATGCACCCCTTCTACCCTTTCCCGACCTGGTCACCCCCTTTAAGCCTTTCCTACCTGTTCCCCTCCTCACCATGGTCAGCCTGCAGCTTACCCACTCAGCTCTGACAGCTCCCTGGTCACAATCTCTCAGACTACCAACTGTCTTCAAAGTGCACTGCCCAGAATAAATTCTAACCTCAGGGCCTCTACAAGGGCTGCTCCTTCAGCACCTCCCTGCTAGATGTCTTCATGGATCACTCCTTCACCTCCTTCAGGTCTTTCTTCAAATGTCTCTCATGCTACCGGGCCACCCTATCCAAACTGAAGACCCCACCACCATCTAACAATCCCTACATCAGCTTTACTACTATATTTTTCTTAGCTCTCTTGCATTTTAAAATTTATTTGTTTATTGTGTATATCCCACAGTAGAATGTAAGCTTCATAAAGGCAAGGTTTTCTTGTCTTTCGGCATGTAGAATAGCTCCCGGCACAGAGTTGGTGCTCAGTAAATATTTGTTGAATGGAAAGTGCTGAAAGCAGCACCGGGCATGCAGTTAGATGCTTAACAAATGTTTGTTTAATTAATAATTGAAAAGTTTGGCTTGTAGTCTGCTGGAGTCCTTGGCTCTTCTTCTTTAGAAAAGCTTTCTCGGCCGGGCACAGTGGCTCACACCTGTAATCCTAGCACTCTGGGAGGCTGAGGCGGGCGGATTGCTCGAGGTCACGAGTTCAAAACCAGCCTGAGCAAGAGCGAGATGCCATCTCTACTATAAATAGAAAGAAATTAATTGGCCAACTAATATATATAGAAAAAATCAGCCAGACAGGGTGGTGCCTGCCTGTAGTCCCAGCTACTCGGGAGGCTGAGGCAGGAGGATCGCTTGAGCCCAGGAGTTTGAGGTTGCTGTGAGCTAGGCTCTCACTGTAGCCTGGGCAACAAAGCGAGACTCTGTCTCAAAAAAAAAAAAAAAAAAAAAAAAAAAAAAAGAAAGAAAGAAAAGCTTTCTTTTTATATTCTGCATCTAAGTTCTTGATCACAGAAGGATGGGTGGGGAGGTAAGGACTCTCCCCCAGCTCTCAGGGAGTCCTTATGTCTCTCCCACAACACCAAGGTACTCTTTTCATACTCACCGCACGACCTTCACCCCATTCCGAAGAACTTCCATGTCCACAGAGAAGCCACCATTGGCGTGAGCCACGAGGTTGAGATCAGAGAATTCAGCCTGGGAAGGAGAGAAAATTGGTGATTCGAACACATCAACAAAAAGGATCGCTCAGTTTGCAGTCTGGACAGTTGGCTTCCAGGTCCACCTGCCCCAACTTACTTGTTCTACTTTAATGTCAATTTCTCCATGGATCTTTTTCCCTTTGAAGTATTTTGCCCTGGAGAGGAAAAACAGAGCACATGTGTTAATGCTCAAATCTCAGGATGGAAGACAAAACCCAGGCCAGTCCCTTGACCTCTTTCCCTTTTAGTGCTACTAGAGAAACCATAAAGTGCTTTATAAGTGTTGCAATACTTTGAAAAAATCAACAGTGCTTTGTGAACAATAAAGTCTGTTGTAATCCTAATGGAGGTGCATAAATGTTAAAGGACATTGCAAAGCATAAATTCTCCTTAAACCACAGAGAGTAGGCATTTCCCAAAGTATAGTCTGCTCCTCACACTGCTGTTGTAAATGTTTTTGAAAAGCTTTGCAAAATGAGTAGGGGTACGTAAATTAGAACACACTTTGAAATTGCAAGGAAGTTTGTAAGTGGCAAAGGACCTTGGAAAATACGTGTCTATGAGGTGTTCCCGTGTCTGTCTTAGTGCTTGTGTCTGTTTTGTGTGGCCTGAAGCATCTCTCTGCTCTCTGGCCCTTCCACAAGGAGGAGCACATTCATCACCATGAGTGGTTGCGTGCTGTGAGGGACACAGCCGTGGGTGGGCGGCTGCATCCTAAAAGGACAAACGGGTTGAGGGGTGCAGGCTGGAAGGTTCTAAAGAAGCCAGTGTCGCTGGCAATGATGGGGGTGGGGGAGCACAGCTGAGGATGAGGGAAAGCCATAAGAGGGAAAAGGAGTAGGAGCAGCAGTAGGCACATCATGAACTGCTCAGGAACTGCTATGTCATTGTCCCCAGGCCCATCCCCAGCTGGGCTTAGTTTCCTGTGGCCTCCTCCTCCAGGCCCGGGATTTCTACCCAACAGGCTTCTCCACAGATGGAATCTCATCCTCAGTCATGTTTCTCATGGAAGGGAGATGAGGGGACGAGACACTCACAGCGCCACTGGTCATTGATATGCACACACTGGGGGGCTCTGACACATCCTCACCACACAAATGGACCTTGGTGACTTGACTGACATGTGTAAGAGACCTGAAGTTCAGCTATTTCCTTTTCCCCTCTGTCTTGGTCTGTCTGTCTCTGTCTCTGTCTCTGTCTCTGTCTCTGTCTCTGTCTCTCTCTCTCTCTCACACACACACACACACACACACACACACACACACACACACGCACACCCCATCACTGACACCGTCCCCTCACAAGTGTCAGAAGGGAATCTCTCACCAACTTGTACATTTTTCATCTATAAACTGATGAGTGAGGATGATGAGTGCATATCACTGTTTTTAAAACTTTTCCAACCGTAAGTGGAATGGATACTATGGTGTTCTGCTCAGCTCTCCTCTTCAGGGCCAATGTACCTTGAATATCAGCTGCTTGACAGCTCATGGTTGTTCCCCCACTGAGAACTATCTTCTGTCACAGGGAACTGCCTTGGCCAAGGTGACACCTACTTCGTGAGGGCAGCCCATGGCTTATATCTGGTCTCTGGGGGGCAGAAAGGCCTGCTCGCCTCGATCCTGGCTGGCTCTGAAGGACCATCCAAGTCCAGAGCTCCCCCAAGAATCAGCTGAGGCCTCTGATGCAACCACATAATGGACCAGCCTCTCCCTCCGCTCGCCCCTACCCTCCTCACAGGTGTCGAGCCCAAAGACATCCCCAGTACACGTTCTGCATGCAGATCTCTGCCTCAAAGTCTGTTTCCAGGGAACCCAACCTGAAACAGTGGACCACAGAAGTCAGCCTACAAAGACACTAATGCAGTTCTGGGGCTGTGTCACCCAGTAGCCAGATGGCAGTGAAGATCCCCCAGCGGTGAGAGGCAGGGCACAGACAGTCCCTGACGTGCTGGAGCAACGCAAAGGGCTCTGCAGCAGGCCCAGGCTGTGGTGCAAGCGGGATGCCACTTAGGCCATATGATCTGGTAGATCCTATGACATTGGAGGTGTCAGCAGTGGGGAAAGGTGCCGTGTGGGGCTTCTCCTCTCTCGTGGGAGAGTACAGCACAGGCCCCTGAGGTTTGGGTGCAGCAGTGCCTTTTCCTGATGGTGGCTGTGATGCGTTTCTGGTGGAAGGGAAGATACTGGCTGATGAAATGTCCCTGGCACCTGACAGGTGTGAGGGAAATGGTAACCAGACTTGAGTGACTATTCCTTAAATGCTGGGAGCGGTGGCTCACACCTGTAATCCTAGCACTCTGGGAGGCCGAGGCAGGTGGATTGCTCAAGGTCAAGAGTTCAAAACCAGCCTGAGCAAGAGTGAGACCCCGTCTCTACTATAAATAGAAAGAAATTAATTGGCCAACTAATATATCTAGAAAAAATCAGCTGGGCATGGTGGCACATGCCTATAGTCCCAGCCACTTGGGAGGCTGAGGCAGCAGGATTGCTTGAGCCCAGGAGTTTGAGGTTGCTGTGAGCTAGGCTGACGCCATGGCACTCACTCTAGCCTGGGCAACAAAGTGAGACTCTGTCTCAAAAAAAAATAAAAAAATAAAAAGAAATAGTTCATGCTCACATGGGACTGACAATAATATTTGTTGATGGTCTTGCCATAGGGCTATGTTAACTCTCTCAGTCTGCATCATAATATAGTCCAAAGGAACCTGGGCCATCTGGACATCCTACAGAATATCACACTGGACCACTGTATCGATTACATCAGGCATTGTGCAAGACTAGCCAGAGATGATTAACACATTGCCTTGAGAAGACACATGCACTCCACAGGGTACAAAGACTCAGGGGCCTACCACATTAGCAAAATTTTTAGGAATCCAGTGGTCCAGGATATGCTACGACAGCTCCTCCAAAGAATAGGGGACAGTGCTACATCTCACACCTTCTGCCGTGAAGAGAAAAGCACACCACCTGGTAGGCCTTTTCACATTCTGGGGGCAGCATATTCCATACCTGTAGACACTGCCCTAACCCAAATTCTAGGTGACATGTAAAGCTACCAGCTTTGAGCGAGGACCAGAGCAGAAAAGGGCTCTGTAGCAGGTCCAGTCTATGTGGTACGAGCAGTCCAGCCACTTAGGCCATATGATCCAGCAGATCCTATGACACTAGAGGTGTCAGCAGTAGGGAAAGATGCCATGTGGAGCTTATGGGATGCCTGAGTGGGAGGCCCTCAGGGTTCTGGAGCAAGGCCATGCCATTTGCAGCAGAGAATCATACGCCTTTTGAGAAACAAATATCACTGCAGTACAGGGTCCTGACAGAGACAGAATGCTAGACCACGGGGTACCAAGTGACCACGCATCCAGAACCTCTCATTATGAGCTGGGTCTTGCCAGACCCACCAAGTAATAAAGTCAGACAGGCCCAGCAGACACAATTGAGCCCAGATAGGACCAAGCAAGGTGCATGAGCAGCTAACGCAGATCTCCATGTCTTCCACCACTGACGTGCTAGTTAGTGCCTGTCCCTCAGATAAGGGGGCTTGTTACAATGAGCGGATGAAAGAGGAAAAAGCCTAAGCTTGGTTAACAAATGGATTGTCTTGGTATGTGGATGGAAGCCAAAAAGTAGCCAATGGCTCCACTGTAGCCCCACTCAGGATGACCTTGAAAGACAGTGGCAGAGCTCCTAGTGGGCAGAGCTTCGGACTATGCACCTCATCATCTACTTTGTGTCAAAAGAGAAGTGGTTTAAGATTAGATAGTATATATATATATTATATAATATATATATAATATATATAATTTTTTTTTTCACGTATGGGCAGTGGTGAATGGCTTGGCTGGGTGGTCAGGGGCCTGGAAGATTAGAAAAGCAGGACAGGAAAGGCTGGGATACAGAAATGTAGGTGGGCATACAGGAGTGGGCAAAAAGTGAGGAGTGGAGATCTCTGTATTGTGTGTTAACACCTACAAGACATCATTCACCATGGAAGTGGTACCAGGCAGCCAGGTAGACAGGATGAGTCAGCCTGATGATGTCAGCCAGACTCTCTGACCAGCCACCACAGTGCTAGCAGATGGGCACATGAATGAAGTGGCAATAGCAGCAGTGAGATGCTGGACAGTACTGAATGTCCAACCTGTCAGCAACAGAGATCAACACTGAATCCCTGATATGACACCGTCCCTCAAGAAGACCAACCAAACCCTTGGTAGCACACTGACTACATTTGGCCCCTTTCACCCTGCAAAGTGTAGTGATCTATTTTGACTAGAATATTCCACGTATTGGTTTGCCTTTTCTAAATGCAGGACCTTAGCCATCATCGTGGTCCAAGGGCTTACACAATGTTTGATCCACCAGCATGGGACCCCACATAACACTGGCTCAAACCAAAAGATGCACTTTACAGCAAAGTAAAGGAGGTGCGAAAGTGGGCTCATGACCGTCGAATCGACTAATAGCATTACATACCACACTGCCCAGAAGCTGCTGGCCTGATGGAGCAATTTGTTGCAGCCATAGCTAAGACCCCAGCCTGGAGGTGATAACATGCAAGAATGGGAACACCATCCTTCAAAACACAGTATAAACCCTAAATCAATGACCATTGCAGGTGCTGTGTTCCTAACAGGTAGAATACATGGGTCTGGAAACACAGAGGTTAAAGTAGGAGTGGCCCAGCTTACCAGCAATCCCAGTGATCCATTTTTGGAATTTGTGCTTCCTGTTCCCTCAGGGCTCTGCAAGGTTAGAGGTCCTGGTTCTCCAAGGGGGAACACTGCTACCAGAGGATACAGCAAGAATCCCATTAAATGCTAAGCCATGATTGCCACCTGGGCACTTCAGGTTTCTCATGTCGAGGGACATGAAGAGGAGTCACTCTGTCTTGGCAGGGGACATTGCTGACCTGGGTCATCAGGAGGAGGTAGAGCTGCTGGTGCACAGTGGGGGCAGGGAGGAGTATGTTTGGCACCTGGGTGATCCACCTGGGCATCTGCTGATATTCCTTGCTCACCTTTGACAGTAAGCAGACAGTGTGGGGTTCTGCACAGCAACCACAGCCTGACAAGGGCACGGGACTTAAGGCTCAAGGATCCCTCAAGGATGAGGTGAGTCATTGAGATCAACAGAGGTGCTAGCTGGGGGTGAGGGGAATCTAGAATGTATGACAGGAGGAGACAATGAATATCATTTATGGCCTTGAAATCAACTGTAGCAGCAGAGGCTGTGCTTCATCCCACTGCTCTGCCCTTTCAAGTTTTCCCCAGAAAACAAAATGTTAGCATTCTGGAAATGCTGTTCCCTGAAAGGGTGAACTTACTTTGAGAAGCAAGTGGATCTGAGCAGTAGTACAAAGGGCGGACTATATGCTCCCCCCAGATCCTTACCTCACCACTTCAGGCCTTTACATCTAGCCCCCAGCTTCTAGGATATCTGCCGCTGACAGTTCACAGGCATGTCCCTCACTGGGAATTGGCCTCTGCAGCCGGGATTTGCCTCACCCAAAGCTATGCCTCCTCCCAGGGGCCAGCCGATGGTCAATGACTGACGCAGAAATACCAAAGCCTGGTGGCCTCCTCAGCTGGGACAACTCTAAAGGGCCATCCCAGCACCAGAACTTCCAAGAGGACTGGCTGAGGCCTCTGTTGTAGTTTCATCATAGCTCAACTTTTCCCTCTGCCCAGTCCTCCCTTCCACACCACCTCCCCCACAGGTGTTGTTTTCAAGAGCTCTCCCCAATAAATCTCCTGAATGCAAATCTCAGTCTCAGGGTCTGCTTCCAGGGAAATCTATCTCAAAAAAGAAGCCACAATAAGAAATATAGTTTATATAACCCACTACATACATATGTATATAACCCATCCTATATATGTAATATATATTATATAAGACATTCAACAAATATAAGAGAATATAGAATATGTCTTATATAATATGTAACATATAAATGTTATATATTACATATTATGTATATATATATCTAGAATGTATAGAATGTATACATACATATTGGAAAGAAAGTTTCAGTAAATAATTATCTTTACTATGTGCAATGCAGTCTGATATTTCCTATTCTATTTTATTCCATTTCATGAAGAAAAACATATTATATACTATAAAGCCATAACATAACACATGTATTATATAGTCTATACCATGTATAATATACATTACAGATCATATGTTTTATTGGAATAACAGTTTTGTTAAACAATGATTCCACTTACTATGTGCAGTATATTGCTATTTTATATTTTTATTTATCCAACTTCATGAAGAAAGTGAAATGCTGGTCATAAGCCAATAGGTGACCCACAGTTTGAAAAACACCAGACTAAATTAGCTCTAAAAGGGGGAGATGAGTCTCAACTCGGAGTTTGCAACTTTAAACCATGGAGGGATTGAGACCTAAGAAGAAATGAGAGTGGTGAGGTCTGGTTGGAAAGGCATCAGGCTGTACTTAGTGTAGGTTGCATTACAGACTTTGCACAACTCCTATTCCATTCCTGGCTGAAATCCCTAAAGCTTGCATGGTTCTGAAGGTCTGTAAGTTGGTGAAGCAGGTCTCTGCTCCTCATGCTGAGAGTGATGTACACAGGCTCTCTCCTTTTATCCACCCCACCCCACATGTAGTAGACACTAAATAAATATTTGCTAGATTGACTGGAGGAGAAGACTAGAGGGGCTGCTGGGATAAAGGGGGGCTTCTGGGGTGCCAGAAGGGACAGATCTTTCACTTAATTCAGCAGGTGCTCAATAAATGCTTGGTGGACAGATTAGAAGAAAAAATGGAAAACATTGGAGGTGCAGTTATGGGGAGGGGAAGGGACTTCTCAGTGTTGTGTAGATAATAAATGCTTGATGGAACAAGGAAAAAGCAGCAAAGAACCTGCCTGGAGGGTGGAAGTGGAGAAGGGAAGTGTAAAGGAGGGTGGTTACCAATATCCAGCAGGGGCCTCAGTAACATTTGTTGACTTCAATGGAGCAAATTTAACCAGGAAGATAGCACCACGGTGAGTGGACATTGGTGAAGGAATTATAGCACATGCTCAATAAATGCTTTATGGATTGATGGAGAAAAGAGTGGAGAAGCCTGCTGCAAGGATGAGAACAGAATACAGTAAGAGATTAATAAGTGTTTTCTGGATTAATTGGGCGAGGAAAGGACAGCTGGGAAGATGGCCACTAAGTGGGGGAAGGGGCCTACTCAGAATAAATGGAAAAGAGTACATGTTATGAGCTTTCGGGATTGCGTAGTGTGAAAGCCAGGATGGAGACTGTTGAAGGGGCAATTAAGACTACCTATGGGGAGAAGAGGCATTGGATATAGGGTTCTTAGTAGTATACAATAAGTGCTCATTAAATGATTGTGGGGTTGAATGGAGGAAAAGGTATAGTGAGGCCAGCTGGTGGTTGGCATTAGAAGGAAGGGAAATTGAAGGAGGGTTCTTCCTAGTATATAGTGGTGTTTAATAAATGCCTCCCACACTCTGACACATGCAAAGTCTGCAATAAATATATATAGAGAATGAATAAATGGTTCTGAATAGAGAAAAAGGCTGCTGGGCAAGGGCCCCTCGAAGGGGGGGAATGAGTAATCTAAGCAGTAAATAGCTGGTACTGACAAATTTAGGCTGAAGTAGACCCCTGGAGAGTTCTTGAGGCAGGGGCAGGAACTTCCAGAGACTTGGAAAGAGGAAGTTGTTTACCAGCTTAAATAGACTAAAGGCCCTTTGGGGTATAGACTTAAGGTTGGGAGAGCGAATCCTAGGGTGACTGAAGGGTGTGAGAAAAGGGTAATCCTTATAAATTGCACTCTGAATTTATCAAAGGAAAGGATCTTGGGGCAAGGCCTTGTGATTGGGGAAGGTTCTCTTAGGGGTAATGAAGGGGAATGTACTCCCTACATATAACAGGCACTGAGCATGTACTCACTGCATGCGCTGGAAGACAGGGACTATGGGGAGGTGGTGTGAATACACAGAACACACAGAAGGCATGCCATAAATGATCATGGCAGCCACTGGAGAGAAAGGTCTTTAGGGGATGGTGATTAGAATGGAGTAACTTGGCAGAAAAAGAATAAATGCTCACTGGATTCATAAAATAAAAGGCCTTTGGGGAGGGGGGTTAGGGATGGGCATACAATCACTTGATAAATGCTCACTGGATCCTTGCAGGAGAAGCCCTTCAGGGAGGGGAAATGAGGATGCAGATACTTGATCTATGTAAGCTTGATTCTTCATCCATGGGAAGAAAAGCTTTTGTGGAGAAGGCACAGAATCAGCCAAACATTAGGTGCTCCATAAATACTCCAAGGAGTATTTAAAAGAAAAGGTCTTTGGAAAGAGTGAAATGGTGCACACAGCAAGTGCTAGATATCTGAGCACTGGACTAACTTGAGGCATGGGCCTTTGTGGAGAGGTCTAAGGTTGGGTCATGCAAAAAGTGCTCAATACATGCAGACTGAAGCCACTGGAGGAAAAGGCATTGAGGAAAGGGTTTGGGGGTGAGGTATACAGCAGGCACTCAACACATGCTTGCTAAAAATATTGGAGGAAAGAACCTTCAGAGAAGGCTCACACTGTAGGCAGTTGATAAATGCTAGATAGATTCACCAAAGGAAACGTCTTTGAAGAAGTAGCTTGAGAACAGGGGATACAGGAGGCACTTAATAAATGCTTTCTAGATCCATTGTAGGAAAAGGTCTTTGAGGAGAGGCTGAAGATGAGTCACACACAGAAGGCTCAAAAATGCTCACGGAACTCACTGGAGGAAAACGATTTGCTTGAGAAGGGGCTTGGGGATGGGGCCCATATCAGACACTTAATAAATGCTTCCTAGATCCTTTGGAGAAAAAGGTCCTCGGAGAGAGGGCCTGGCGTTGGGGTACACAGAAGGCATTCAGTCAAGAATACATTCAATCACGAGATCCATTAAAGGCAAAGCTTTTGGCAAGAAGCTGGGGTGGAATACACAGCCAGCACTCAATCAATGTTTACTGAATAGTTTAAAAGGTCTTTGAGGAAGGGGCTGGGGTGGGACGCATAGCACTGACTGGATACATGCTCATAAGATCCATTAGAGAGAAGGCCTTGGGGCAAGGGTTGAGGAGAACAAGGCACACATCAGGCTCTCAAAAAATGCGCACAAAACTCATTGAAGCCAAAGGCTTTGGGGAAGGGCTCTTGGATGAGGCATACAGCAAGTATTTGATAAGTGCTCACAAGATCCATCAGAGGACCAGGTCTTTGGGGCGAGGGTTGAGGGAGTAGGCAGGGCATATTCGGATCACAGGATATATTGAAGCCAAAGGCTTTTGGAGAGGGGGTCTGGAAAAGAGGTACACAGCAGATGCCCAATAACTGCTCCTTGTATCCATTGAGAAGGTTTTTGGGGGGACAAGGGTGGGGCACACAGGAAGCGCTCAGCATAATAATTTAAAGGGAAAGAACTTGGGTGAGAGGGCCAGGTGCCAGGCACACAAACAGCGCTCGATAATTGCTCATTCGCCGCCAAACGATCTGGGGGCCCAGGCCCGCGGGGAGACGTCCGCGGCAGTGGCTTACCAGTCGGTGTGCGGTTCGTCGATGACCAGCAGCACCCTGGCGGCGGCGCCCCCGCGGCCTGCGCCCCCAGAGCCGCCGCCCACCTGCTCGCTGAAGGTGGCGGCCGCGGCCGCCGTCGTCTGCTTGACCGCGTTGGACAGCGACGAGAAGAAGCCACCGCCCCCTGAGGACCCGGGGCTAGGGGCAGCTGGAGAGGCCACGGGGGCAGTCGCAGAGGACCTCTCGGCAGTGCCGGTCACAGGACCAGGCGTGGCTCCGGGACTGGGGCCAGCGGGCGGCGGCGGGGGCGGCTGCGGGCGCTGCAGGTCTGTCATGTACCCATTCGGCAGATTGGCCATAAAGTTGCTGTCTGACAGGCGGCGCCGCAGGTAGTTCATGGCTGCGGCTTGGGGCAGGGATCCTAGGGACACTCTGGCCAGAGCCGCGGGGGCGGACCGCGCGGGGCCCAGGAGCACAGCCGCGCTCTCAGGCACGACGCGACTCCTCCGCTGCCCGCCGCAGACTGAGGCAGCGCTTGGTCGCCGCCGCCGCAGAGCGGATGGTCGCGCCCGTACCCCCCTATCTCGCGCCTCGCGTGGTGCAGTCCGGTCGGGCCGGCGGTGGCGCGGACGCGACCAAGGCGGCCAGGAAGGGGAGTTTGAGGAGAAACGGTCAGTGACGTCAGCGCGCCTTCAGTGCTGGGGCGGCGGTGGCGCGCGCCGGCGGGCGGGGGCGAAGGCGCTGTCCGCGGTGCTGAAGCTGGAAGTGCGCACGCGCCACGCCGCATCCTGGTTCCCCTCCCCCGCTCTGATAGGGGATGCGCAATTTGGGGAGTGGGGGTGGGGTGCTTTTCTGGAGGGTCAGGGTCGGTAGTAAGGCAGGCCACCCACCAGCCCGCCTCATCCTGGTCCTCATACCCACTCGTACCCATACACAGGGCTCTCCGCGGACACTCGGCTTCCAGTGTTGATACTCACCACAGAAGGTATTTTGTGGGTGGGGGTGGGGGTGGGGGTGGAAGCACACTCAGAGACACAAAACTAGAGAAGTAACCTCCTCGCTGCTAGGGGTGGGGTCACACGCAGTGCCCCGCGGGGAAATCAGTCTCCTACGTCCACACAAGCTCAGCTAGGCAGAGAGAGTGGGGGTGGCATAGACAGCATCAGACGAGCGGAGGTGGACACTTGAGCGGTGTACACACTCTTGCCCAGGGTGTCGGGAGGCCTGGAGGCATACAGCGAATGACACACACGGAGATACATATATACACACAAAAAAAACTAAGGAAACACATAGGAACATGTACAGACAGAAAACAGACACCAATCTAGGTGTATATACAGACATGCAAGCCTAGGGCAACACACAAGAGCATGCATACACTTACACACACACAGGCAACACACTGACACACACAGACCCAGGGAAACTCACATAAGCATGCACACCGAGACAAAATACATTCTCACAGATGATCATGGAAAAACACAGATCTGCAATACACATTCCCTGCAGCTCTAACCCTGATGCATGTCTATCCTCCCCACTAACCACAACACACTTGGTGTATATGTCCCATTCCTTTGCTCTGGATACAGCCAAAACCCACAAATAACCGCCTGGTGTCATCAATGCCCATAGATGTCTCCCCCTGCACCTTAGAACTTTCCACAGACAGAGGCAGGCCCATAGCAGGGTGCATATACAGTAGGTGCCAAATAGTGTTTACACTATTGGCAAGTGAGGTAGTCCAGGCAGAGGTGGGATGTGGAAGCCATTCTGTCAAACCTATAAGATCCTGACAATAAAAGCACAAACTCATAAATAATCATTTGTAACCAACATTTAGCTAAGCTGTTTACATGTATCATTTCATCCAACCTTCACAACAATCCTATAGGGCGGATAACATAATTTCCATTTTATAGATGAGAGAATCTGAGAACTCCATTCCTAAAGGGTTATGTTCACTTTGTGTTCCATACATATGTTTTTTCTTTTAAGAATGTGCCAGGAGGAGAGAACAAATAGCCAATGCCAGTGTGGCTGGAACAAAGTGAGGGGCTTGTGTAGGAGATGGGGTCAGAGGTTAGCAGGGGCCAGATTGGGTAGGACTTTGGCCATAGTGAGTGATGATGGTGGACCAGGTGAGGTGGCTGAAGATTAGCAAGAAGTAGGGGGTCTTTTTTGCCTGCAGGATTTTCACGTGAATCATCCACTTACTCATTTGTTCATTCTTCATTCATGAGATCATTGGCTAGTTTAAACGAGGCAGTAATGATGTGGGGTCTGGAGTCACAGTGCCTGGGTTCAAATCGGGCCTCCACCATACCCTTGGGAAAGTGACTTAATCCTTCTAAGATTTGGTTTCCTCATGTGTAAAAAGAGTATACCTCTGACTCACCTCTAAGGAGTGAGGTTGTGGAGGGGCAACCTCTGTATCTTTGCATGCGCTGTAACTTCTGCCAGGAATGCCCTCTCCCTCCCTTTCTCAAGGGTTGTCTTTGGCCACTGTATCCAGGAAGTCCCCCATCTCCAGGTCTCAGATTCCATCTCCACTTCCACTAGGCTCCCATAATCCCCAAGTTAAAATACTTCCCCAACCATCCTCTACTCCCTCCTCCAACCCAGCCAGCTTCTGTCCCACCTCCAAGCCTTTGTTTTGGCCATTCCTTCCCCTCCCTCCAAGATGCCCTCTCTGGCATTCCAAATGGGGACTTGCCACAAATGAGATATTTTCCAACATTTTGAAGTATGTGCTCCTTAGTTTTTTGCTCATTAACAGAAGTAAACAAGCTATGCAGGGCGTGGTACCTTCTCTGGGGGACAGGAGCAGCTGCAGGTCTTTCTGGCTACTCTGGGCCTGAATTCATGTTCCTCAGGAATCTGATCCAGACTGTGCCTCTTTCTAGGGGCCCTGTTCCCAGGCTCCTAGTACTTGTGGCTCCCAGCACCATTCCCTTTTTCCAGGTGGCTCAATTTCCAGAAATTAATTTTTTTGTGGCTTGTTTTATAGAGGCATGAAGATTTCTTCTAGGAGTATCTTAACTCACCTAGGCAGAGGTAAGACTACTCTTCACTGTCTCCATCTTCATCACCAGGAATGGGTGTACAAAAGGGGCTCCAAGAAGGATTTTGTTGTGCATTGGTGAGCAACAAGTCTCACACACACATACATGCTCACATTCAGTATTGTACCCATGCCTATAACACATAAATACATATCCATGTCCCCTTAATGTGTGTGCACAGACACACATGACTCACACATTGTTGTGGCGCACACACAGTTGTAACCTCACACACACTCCACATACATTCAATACATCCTTAATTCTTGCACAGCCCCACGGGTCTGCATATCACACACACAAAGATATGTATGCACCTCATAATGCACACACACAGCCGAACTTTCTTGTAAACACAAACCTCTTATACTCTGTAGTGGCAACCAGAACCCCTTACTACTCAGTCCTTCCAAGATGACCAAGTAATTACCCACCCATCAACTGGCCCATTTTACATAAAGGGAAAGCAACCCAGAGAAGTCAAGTGAGTGCGCCAGCAGAGTTCAGGTGTCACAAACCTCCCACCCGAACCTTCCCACACAGAGGGGTCCCCCCTTCACCAAAGCTTGAAGTCTTGAACACTGCTTCTGCCTCACCATAATCCATGGTGCTTCAAAAATGTCCAGCCTGCTACCTTTCTGTGCTTGTTTCCTCTTTTGTAAAATCAGGATAATTATACTGACCCTCATAGGTTGTTTGCAGATTAAATGAGTTCATGCTATGGAAAGCCTTAAGACACTACTAGGCATCATAGTAGACACTACTAGGCAGTTTTTTCTAAGCATTAGCTATTACCATAATTATGATGATGATTCTTATAATGTGTCTCCTTACAAGGGGCCTGGCATTTGGTAAGTGGTGAATGAATGAGCAAATGCTAAGAGCACTGGTATCAGGGTTTGTCCCCTTCACTGTGGAGACACATACCATTCTGATTCCTCTTCTTCCTTATCCTCCATGATGTCCAGCACTATTGTTAGTATACAGTAGGCGTTAAGTGTCGAATAGATGTTCAAAAGAAAGGAATAACTATTCTGAGTCTGTTCCCTCGCTCAGATGTCCTCTCCTTCTACCAGCCCTCCTCCACCCCAGATGCCCAGACTTAGCTTTAGTATACAGTAAACGCTAATAAGTGTTGAATGAATGAACAAGTTCTAGAGGAATGTATGTCTGGGTTTGTCTTGGGGGCTCCTCCAGGCAGATGCTTCGTTTTGCCCCAGCCCCAGCTCAGAGCACATCATAGGCACTTCCTCTACCCGCCCCTCCCCCCCTCCCCCTCCGAGCTATTTGTCGCCCGTAATTGCGGCATTGGAGCAAGCTTGTTGAGAGTGGGTGGGTGCAGGTGCTCGGGCGCCAACCCCGGCCACGCCTCTGCTGCCTTTCACGGTCAACTGCCGCAAATCCGTCAGCAGACGCTCGGGCGGGCGGGCACCTAGGGAGCTTCAGGAGGCGGGGAGACGGCAACGAGCATGCCGGCCAATCAAGAAGTGTCTGCCTGGACGAGTAGCCAATCAGGAAACCCGTACCGCGGAGCTCTTCAGAGTGACGTGTCCGGCGGCCCCAGGGCACTGGCGGGGTCTGGGGCCCAGATATTGGGGTCACAACAGCGGTGGCGAAGGGAGGCTGAGGCTGGACACTTACTTCCCCTCCTGCCAAACTGCAGCCACAGTGGAAATACTGTCTTTCCACACAGGCCGCTGCGACTTTGCCCGTGCTGTGAGGGGATGCTATTGCCCCCACTTCTTGGGAAGGGGATAGGTTGCTTTTCCCCCTTTAAGGAATCTTAGAAGAGTCCGAAGAGGCTGGTTTATTGAGGTTTGGGAGATCAGAGGGTCAGAGTGGAAGGGAAAGGTGTTAGAGCTTCTCGTCCTCAGGGTCTTTGCAGGCAGGCACGAGTAGACATGGCCGTTTCTCCTCCACCACCAGTCTCTGCCCCTGCAGCATGTCGCACAGTGCCCGTGGTGTCCCCCAGAAGGTCACATTCTTCTCACCCTGACCTTCGACCATGGAAATGGTGGGCCTGGGGCATTGGGGAAATGGAGGGGAGAAACTTAGGGAAGGCAAGAATGCATTCGACAGACTCTCGGGTGCCTACTTGTGCTGAACACTACTTTTTAGCTGTGAGATTTTGGGCAATTTATCTTCCCTGTGCCTTAGTTTCCCTCGTCTGCAAAATGAGAATAATAGGAATACTATTAATACCCACCTCATGGGGATGAGTGAGGATAAATAAGTTAATTCAGGTAAAGTGCTCAGAGCAGTGCCTGACACACAGTAAGTGCTCAATAAATGCTGGTGATTGTTTCTTGTTGACATGAGCTACCTTTTCTTACCTCCTAAACCCTTTATATCTCTCCCCACTGCCCCCAGCAAAAAATCAAGTGCCTTGTCCTGACATTCAAGGCCTTTTTGTTGGACCCAATCCCTGCCCCATGCCAATCTCTCTCTCTTTTATTCAAACTCAATCTCATGTCCAGAAAGGTCTTTGCCTGGGTTCTGTCTCCCACTAGGCAAGCTCTTCATTGACTCTCACCCCAGTTCTCTCGATTAGTCCTTCCCCATTCAGTTTCTCACTCATTCAAGTCCTTTGCGCCTCCATTCAACACCTCTAACTCATCTTCAGGACCCACTCTAAACCCTATAGCTAGGAGATTCCTTCCCAGATCACAGGTCTTCACGATCTGGGGACAGTGCACTTAATCTGGTAACTTGATGTATGTGGAAGGAAAGAAGGGGTGAATATTTGAACCTCCTCTAATACCTAGGCCACTCTGTCTCTGGGAAACACTTTTGGTGGCCAATCACTTGTGTTCAGGATTCTGATCAAAGTCTTAATGTCAGGCATTCCTTTCCTGATCCCTACATGCCCTGGGAGGCCTGATCAGCTTCCTGGACCTAGGCTGAGGTGGCAGTGTCTCTTCCACACACCAGTCGCTCTTCACATGCCTTGTGTCAGGGCCCTGCTAAGTCCCTTGGTGGATTCATAGGATCTGGGTTCTGGATGTTTACAACTGTTGCTGAAAAGGCCTTGGAGTGCCTTGGGGCAGTGAGATGGCAAGTGAGTGAACAGAGGTGTAGGCGACTGCAGGGGCAAGTGAATGGAGGCCTGAGAGACTGAGCAACTCAAAGAATGGGCAACTGAGAGGTCAGAGTCAATGACACATGAAGGACCGAGGGAATGGGAGAATGGCTGAGTGACTGACTGAAGGGTACAGAGGCTAAGAATTCTCCCCCAGTAGCTTCTTTATCATTTCCTTTAGTTTCTCCCCACTTCCCACAGCTAGTAGATGGCACCTGGCAAGGCAGACACCTTAGACCCAGTGGTGGAAGCCCTAGTTGCCTGAGGTAGCCATTTCTCCCGCCTTTGGTATCCTGACTACCTCCCAGGCACACTCTGCCCCCTCACTCACGGGTACTTGGGGAGCAAGGCTGTGCAGAGGCGACGACGGACACGGGTGGGCTCGGGTCCACACGGAGGCATGCACAGCCCCCAGGTACTCCACTCTGCCCATGAACCTTTCCCTGCAATAGGGGTGGGGATCACAGAGTCAGAATTGGAGAGCTCAGTGGGAAGGTGAGAGAGAGGCTGCAGGGGCATGGGGTCCATAGCAGAGTTGGAAAACCCTCGTCCCTGCATGGGTTGCCCCACCCTCACAGCACAGTCTGTGGGCACTCACAGACGCAGCCCTCGATGTTGTAGCAGTGCCGGATATCTTGGTATTGGCCGGCACATCGCTGTCCATTAAACTTGCGGCCCTTGCAGGTCCTTAAGCGTGTCTGCTGGCCCGGGATTTCCTTACAGCTGATGGACTTTATGTTCGGGCGGGTGCAGGTGTTCCACTGCCCCCAGGCCTCCCACTCTCCATCCACTGCAGAGCCAGGGCAACAGGGGCTCAGACCAAAGCTGGGAACCAGCAAGGGGGCTCAGAGGAAGGAGTGAGGACTTCAGGAGGGAGTGGGGGCAATCAGATGTGGGAGTGGAGGATCAGAGGTGGAACTAAGGCATTAGGGCCAGGAAAGGAGGAATCAGAGACAGGGACAAGGCCTCAGCATCAGGAACTGGGCAACAGAGATGGGCAGGGGGACTTAGGCATGGAAATGGTGTATCCTGAGGTGCTGACCAGGGCAGGGCACGGCTGTGTTGCAGATGTGGGTCCGGGTGGCATCACCAGCACAGAAGGGGCCCCCATGCTGGGGCACAGGGTGATCACATGTCCGTTGTTCCATGGTCTGGCCCAGGCCACAGGTCACAGGGCAGGGGCTCACAGGGCCCCATGGACCCCAGCCCCCAGCCACTGTTGAAGGAGGAAAGGGAGTGAGGAGAAAGGTCACCTTAATCCCTCCCCTCTGCCCCTAGACCCTTGAGGCAGACTGTCTCCAGATGAAGGGCTCCATGGTCACATGGTATAGGAACTCTACCTGCTGAAATGGCAGAGAATCTGTGTCCTGAATCAAGAGGCCCATGCCTCATACCCACGTACCTGGGCAGGGCAGCAGACCAGGGCAGCTCCGCTGCTCATAGGCTGGCCCTGGGCAGGTCTTCCCAGGAGGCTTCTGGGAGGGCTCAGGTGCAGAACATGTGCGGCTTCGTGTTTCCATAGGTGCATGGGATCCCCCGTGGCAGGAGCCTGAGCAGGGGCTCCAGGGGCCCCAGGTGGCCCAGGCCCCATGTGCTGTGGCGGGGTGTGGGTAGGGAGATACAAGTGTGGTTATATGTGCTGAAGTCTTCTCACCCTGGCAGTTCCCTGTGTAACCCCACAGACCCACCCTGGATGCCCCCATTGGTGTCCTGTGGCTGCCCTCACTCACTGGGGCAGACTTGCTTGGAGTCACAGTCCTGTGACTCCTGTGTCTCTCCTGGGCAGTGGCCTCCACACTTGGGGGCAGGATGATTACAAGCTCGCTCGCGGATCTGGATCCCTTTGGAGCAGGTGACAGAGCAAGGTTTCCAGGGTCCCCAGTCAGACCAGCCACCCATTTCTGTGGGAGAGAAGAAAGAGGGATGGGATGTAGGTAGGGTATCATTCAGGGCTCCTTGCTTCCCTGTGTGCCCCACATTAGCTAATCCTGTCCTCATATCCTCTGCCACCACACTTGACCCACCATCACTGCTCCCTTGGACGACCACAGCAGCCTTCACATTGGTCCCTCATATACAGTCTGTCCTCCTCCCAACCCAAGTCAGATCACATTTCTCCCCTGCCCACAGTACAGATGACTTACACTAAAAGGCAACGTCCTCACCATGGCCCCTAAGAATCAGGCCTCCCTCACCTTTCTGACCTATCCTCCCACCACTCTGTTCCTTTGGTCCTCACAAACATCAGGCACAGGCCTGCCCTCAGTGTCCCTGCACTGATTATCCCAGTGCTGGTTAGCAGGGAATGCTTGCCCGCCTTGCTGTCCTCCTCACCAGGACAGCACGGCTGGTCTTCACAGGCCTGTAGCTGCCACTCGAGGGTCCCAGGCACTGCCTTCTCAGAGCACTTCCCATCCCGGCCTACGCAGCGCCGATGCCGCAGCTGGGATCCCTCAGAGCATTTTGCCGAGCAGGGGGTCCATGTGGACCAGGGTGACCATCGTGGGAACCTGTAGAGAAGAGCATAGGTGTCCCATCCTGCTGCGGGCTGTCAAGGATGGCATTCGGGACTCCGGAGTGTAAGCAGGCACACAAGGGGGCGCTGGCTGAATGTGTGTGGGATGGACTGATGAGCACCAACCTCTTAGGGATGTTAGGGGATTGAATGGGAAGAGGTGGGCATACAGTAAGGGCTTGATTAATGTCATTTACCTTCATGATCAGGGACCTGGAGTTGGAAGGCCCCCAAGGACAAGCAGGGATGCAGGAAGCAAATGTAAGGACTAGGGGCCTGGAGCTGTTGTGACAAAATCACCAGGTCACCACCCTGCACAGTAGCAGGCAAACAGGAAGTGCTTAATAAACAGGAGCCATCATCCCAACAAGCTCAGAGGCCTCCTCAGAAATCCCCCAGATCTACCCCAAGCTCCTGCATAGCACTGGGTATGCTGTCAATAGATGCGAACTGTTGACGTGACTAGGAGCCCAGAGCTGCCCTCAAAAATCCCCAAGCTCCCCAGGCCCACAGCATATCCAGAATGTACCATAAGCAATTAGAAAAAACATCTGGAATACAGTAAGGGATCAATATGTGTGACCTGGAAATCATGATTAGGAGACTAGAGCTACCCTCAGAAATTCTCAAGCTGAGCCCTCCTACCCCTGCAATGTATCTCTTATGCAGGAAGTGCTCAATGGATGTGAAGTATCATAATTAGGGGCCTGGAGCTGCTCTCAGAATTCCCCAAACTCTTCCACCCACAGTATGTCCGTATATAGTAAGCACTCAATAAATAGGAGCTGTCATCACAATTAGGACACCAGAGTTACCTTCAGAAGCACCTGAGCTGCAGCCTACCTGCAACACTTCCAGTATGCAGGAAGAGGTCAACATATGTGAGCCACGGCAGTGGTTCTCAACCAGAGGTGATTTTGTCCCCCAGGGGACATTTGGCAATGTCTGGAAACATTTTTGGTTGTCACAATTGATGAGGGGAGTTGTTACTGGTATCTAGTGGAAGGCCAGGAATGTTATAAAATGTCCCACAATACATAGGTCAGCACCCCCTACCCCAACAAAGAATTTTCCAGCCCCAAATGTTAATAGGGCCAAGGTTAAGAAACCCTGAGCTATGGTCATGATCAAGGCCTGAGGACCGTCCTTGGAAATCCCAGAGAAGGAAAACGCCCAGTTCTGGGTCACCCCACAGACAGTCCTTTTTGCCTCCCCCCACTCCAAGTTCCCCCTAACCTGCATATCTGACAGATCTTGCTGCCATCTTCCTGGAAAGCAAAGGCAGCGTTGAGACAGCAGTCTTCTACCTTGACACTTCCCAGGAGGTCCTTGCACTTGCCAGAGGATTCCTCATACTGGGCGAAGCAGAGCACGGGGTCTGAACCTGTAATGCGGCCAGGGATGGGTGGGTGGGTGGGTAAGGCATGGTCAGGAATGGGGTGGGCCTGAGCACCCCTGGGGGCCAGCTGAGCCCTCACCCGCTCACCTGTGGCTGGCAGGGTGAGCAATGGCAGCAGCAGCAGCAGCAGCAGCAACCACTGAGGGGCTTGTGCACAAGCAGTCATGTTGAGCACTGTCTCCTGCCCCAGTGCCAAGAGGAAGAAGCCCAGCTTTATGTGGGTTGACCTGTTCCTCGAGTCAGCAGAGAAAGAGGAACTGGGAGGGCGAAGGGCGGGGGGAGAGGAGAGGGCATCCTGCAGGCCTCTTCAGCTCTGACCTCTCCCCTGTCCTTTCTGCCTCCTCCTCTACTCTCCCTCCTGATTTCCTGTTTCACCCTTGGTCCTGTTTTGTCACCATATCCCCACCCCCTCACACTCCCCGCAGCAACTTTTCAGTGCTCAGTCAACACTCCTTGGACAAATTCTCAGTGAAGGGAAATGGAACATAGGAGTTTGCAGCAACTTCCTAGCTGTGTGACCTTGGGCAAGTTCACTTATACCTCTGAGCCTCAGTTTCCCTATCTGTAAAATGCATAATCTCTACCACAATGACAAGGTCAACCTCATAGGGGTGTTGAACAAGGGTGAAATGAGTGTGGTGTGCTCAGTGTGTCCTTTCTCATGGGGTGGAGGGGGCATCGAGGTAATTGCTTCATCCTCCATCCTGACTTGACCTCCACCCTCCTCTTTCCTGAAAGCTAGGTTCCCTGCGGTCAGCATGGGGGCTGCTCAGCACAGGGGAAGTGAGAAAGAGAAGTGGGAGGAGCCTGGGCACAGTTAGGAGGGAACCAGCTTGCCCATATTCCACCAGAGAACCCCCACTCTCGGCAGGTAACACCCCCCTCCCCCAGCTTGTTTCCTCCTCTGTAAAATGTGCTCACAGACAGCACTTACAACATAAGTAGGCTTTTTTGCAGAGATTGGGATTTAGCTTTCTTAAAGTTCTTAGAACGGTGTTTGGCATACAGTAGGTGCTCTGTTTGTTAAATAAATATATTCAATGTTTACTGAGCACTTACTGGATGCCAGATGTGGTTCTCAGCATTAGAGAACAGGACAAAAATCTCAGCCCTCAAGGGACTTATGTTCTAAAGGAAGAGATAAACAATAAATGTCACTCCCCCTACCCCCTGCCCCACAGAGGCCTTTCTGAGCTACTTTTCTTATCTGGCATCCCTGTCACTCTCTAGCCCAATGGCTCTCAAACCTATTTTCTTTTCTTCTCCTTTATTTTTCTTTTTAAGAAACCCTAGCAAAACTCCAGAGCCCACTTCAAAAACAGGAATGTTTTTTTAATTAACAAAAAGGAGCCTAAGAAAGAAAGGAAGGCAATGCCCTATTTCCCTTGCATTCAGGGAGGGAGAAATACCATCCTGCAAATTTAAACAAGATAAAAGAATTTGGTCAGGTGTTAAAACAGAAGTACTTCAAGAATACTGGTTTTGTTTATGGGCAATTAGGTGTGTGTTAATATTTGTAACCATTCCAAATGTACTCTGTTCTCTGGTAATACAAGCCTGTCTTTGAAAGTGTGCTTTGAACAAAGGGTCTTATTAAGATTCTAAGACTTCAGACATCAGTGTTGCCTTATCCTGTGAAACCCCCCCCCCAAACCTGCGATTCTGGCTGACTGCTTTATTTAATCACCTGTTGCCTTGGTAATAATGTCATAATCTGTATTTCCTTTGTTCCTAAACTGCATAAATACTCCTAGGATTCCCTGTGGAAGAGAACTGTCAGCATGTTCATCTTCTCCCACACACATTTAAGGCAATCAAATGAGTCTGCAGATTCTTTATTTAAACAGAGTGAGAGACTCTTGTCTGTTTTAATTATTACATCTCTACTTGATACTATGTACTTGTTTTTTTCTTTCTTTCTTTCTTTTTTTTTTTTTTTTGAGACAGAGTCTCACTTTGTTGCCCAGGCTAGAGTGAGTGCTGTGGCATCAGCCTAGCTCACAGCAACCTCAAACTCCTGGGCTCAAGAGATCCTTCTGCCTCAGCCTCCTGAGTAGCTGGGACTACACTACAGGCATGCACCACCATGCCCAGCTAATTTTTTTTTCTATATATTAGTTGGGCAATTAATTTCTTTCTATTTATAGTAGAGACGGGGCCTCGCTCTTGCTCAGGCTGGTTTTGAACTCCTGACCTCAAGCAATCCGCCTGCCTCCGCCTCCTAGAGTGCTAGGATTATAGGCGCGAGCCACCGTGCCCGGCCAAGTGTGTACTTATTTCTTGTCATCTTCACTATCAGCCCCGTAAGGGCAGGGAGTTTTGTCTGGTTTGTTAACTGCCGGATCTGCGGAGCATTAGATGGGCACCAGCAAACAGCACATGCTCAATAAACACCTGCTGAATGAATCAATATAGGAAATAAACAAAACTTTGTGGAGATTCTGGATAGTGCTAAGAGAAACAGTCTGAGTTGGAGATAAAAATTTGGGCATCACCTGGGGGCTAAGTAGTATTTCAAGTCTTAGAACTGGGTAAGATCACCTAGAGAAGATGTGTGAGAAGAGCCCCAGACAAAGCCCCGGGGAATCCCAGCATTTCGGGTTTTGGAGAACTAGGAAGAGCCAGCCCAGGGGACTGAGCAGGAAGTGTCCACAGAGCAAGAGGACAAACACAATAGGGTTTTTCTCCTAGGCCTGGAACAATCTGTGGTTTCTCATACAGTGTCTCATTTGGTCTTTTTCTCTCACATTTTATTATTTTTTACCTAGACACACAGAGCTCCGGATTCACAGCCTCTATTATAGTCTCTCACAAACAGGTTCACATACATAATCACACAGCTCTGACATCAGACATTCTGTCACTCATTTTCTGTCATTGATCCCCAGCCTCCTACAGTTTCACATACAGTCACATCTTACAGCCTGTCTTAGTCAACATCGCCAGTATTTCCTCACCAGTTTCTCACAGACACATGCGTGCACACACACAATACACCATCTCGTCTCAGAACCTTTCAGCCACTCATTTGGCCTGTCATTTCCTTGCATACTCAAATAGTCACTGATTTATAGTCACTTCGCTAGCTAGTCTCTCATGAAGTTTCTCACACACACACAAAATCACCACCTCTCCTACCCCTTCACACTCAAGCCACTTTTTCACATACCCATGGTCCCCAATTATAGCCTCTCCTATGGTCTCCTCTGAAGAGTTTCACATGCATACACAACTACACCATATTGCAGACATTGTCTTTGTCATCTAGTCTCACATTTCTTCTCAACCAGCTTCCAACACACCCAGTCCTTGATTTACATCCTTTAATAAAGTCTCTTGCAAAGAGTTTTACACACAGGCACACAGTTGCCCACTCAGCCTCACCATCATTGTCCTTCAGTCTACTTCTAACCTATGTGGTCACTAAGTCACAATGGCTACTAGGCCCTTGATAAGTCACAGTCAGTCTTGCATGCCCATCTTTGTTGTGCACACTGTCATTTTGTTCACACAGTCACATGCACAATTACAGCCTTGCAAGTTTCTCACATGCCACACCATGGGATCGCTCAGCATCTCATTTGCACAGCTTTTCCACAAACATACAGTCCCTGACTTACAGTGTCTTATATTTCAGACACCCCCACCCCTGGAAGCTGCTTGGTTGTTAAGTTTGTCTCCCAAAGTTGCTGACTTCCAGTTATTGCTCCTGCTAGTTTCTCCCTCCCAACCCTGGTCAGGTGGTCTCTCCCATCATTTCAGTTGCCGCCTCACCACCACTTTCTCTCACACTTTCTCACAGGCCCTGAAACTGTGGGACAGACTGTAGTACCTATCAATCGATCTGCTATTAGTCTTGGGTTCACACACGTACAGCCTTTCACGCTCTCCCAGGCCCAGCCCTTCATTCTGTTCCTTCACTACAGTCTCTCATGACCTGTTTTCAGACACGACAAAAACTTCTCTCACACACACTCCCAAGACTTTAGTTGATGCTACAGCTTCACATAAAGTTTCACACACAATCCATTTCTCAAACACTGAGTCACCTACAGTGAGGTTTCTCACACAATCCCCACCACAATCCCTGATAAAAACTACCACAGTTTTGTGCCCACGCAGTCTCTCACATGTGGTTTTGGTCACTTGGTCTGTCCTGCTCACCATCAGCTTGTCAAACAGTGACAGAGTTGCAGTCCCTGTTTCCTTTTCGTAATTATTTCATACACACCATTGCAGGTTCTTGTACCATATCTTAACCACTCAGTCTCAGTGATTTTCTGAAACAGCCACAATTTCTCACATAGCCACCCTGTCAAAAGTCTGTGATCACAATTTCTGTGCTCGAAAGAGTGTACACACACATTTGCAGTTTCTCTCTCTCTCACACACACGGTCACTGATCTGCAGTCTCTATCACTGTTTCTGACACACAGCATCACACTATTTCTCTCACAATCAACCTCTGCCTCACGCTCTCACTGCCCTTCACACACAGCCATGCCTGTCACACTCAGCTAGTCCTGACAACAGGAGGAAAAAAAATGCCACTCCAGCACCACCTTTAAAAATATATATTTACAGGAACAATTCCCCATTCTCTTGGACTCTTAGAAAAAAAAGGTCCATTTTGGGGAAGTAAAACAAATGGTGGAGACGAGTGTAGCACCGTCCCCCAAATCACCAACCCCTAGGTCCCCAGGCCTGGGCTGGGCCAGTGCTGACAGGAGGTGTGTCCAGGAGTCTTCTGAACCCACTCTCTCCAGCCTGGAATCGAGACAGGACAGGCTTTATGTCCCCATTCCTCCCTCCCAACTCCAGGAACACTTAAAGGGTCCTTTGTACCCGCCCGCAGGAAATTGGGGGGCTGGGAGGGAGGGAGGGAGCTGAAAATACATGTTTGGTATCAAAAATAAACACTTGGGGGTGGCAGGAAGATTCCCCCCCAAATCCCTTCCTTCCCACCCACCCCATCAGATATAGGAAGAGATGTCCCCCTCTCCCCTATTGAAAAGCCCCATTTAAAAATAGATTATACTATCAAAATGGCAGGGGGTGAGAGACAGGGAGACCTGGAGTACTGGTTGGAGGGGTCCCCCAGACGGGGACCATCCCCCAAGAAAACCCTCCATTGGGAGGTAACAGGCAGGACCCCAGGGAGTTTGGCAGACAAAGGAATGGCTTCTCAGGGGGGAGAAGAACAAAGGAGCATTCCTCCCTGGCCAAAAAGTTGATTGAAAGAAGGACAAAGTGTCTGAAAGAAAGGTTGGGGAGGTGGAAATTCCTATTCCAAGGGTGTCATTCTTCCTTGGCCAAGACTCCCAACCCATTAAATGGTACAAATTCCTCCTAAATCCTTGATATGGCCAGGAATAATAAAATGAAACAAACTAGCTCTTCTACCCACATCCCCAAATGGAAGAAAGGGCTACCTCATCTCCCCAAGGGCAGGCTGAGAAATAAATAAAGAAAAATCCTTCTCAAGCCAGACCCAGATTGTCTTGTCTTGGGGAAAAAGTAGGGAGATGGGGGAGATATCCTAACCAGCCCCCCCTAAAAGGGTTGGGCCAGGCTCCTCCCAGTGGCCTTCAAAAAATAAATAAATAAACCGCCCCTACCACTCAAGTAGGAGACGTGTGAAGGCGGCCACTGGGGGACTGATGAAGAAGACAGAAGTTGTGTGTTTTCCATGAGGAGTTATTGAGAGATTCTTCTTTCCAAGAATCCTCACCCCACCACAACCAGAGCATGAGTCTGTCAGTTGAACTATGTTTCTCCTTGAGATGGCTGGCTGGAGAGAAGTTCAGGGGCATGGATGGAGTGACCCCAGAAGGGGATGGTGGTGGTAGTCATGGCTTCTGGGGCCCTGGGGAGAGCACCACGGGGGTCGAGAGGCCATCCACACTGATGGAAGGGATGTGCACCTGGGCGCTGCCGCTGGACGGAAACTGGAAGCAGAAATAGGGAGAGGTCACACATGGGGGCCATGCTAGAGGGTTTCTTGCCCTCTCTGAGATGGGGGAAGGAGATCCTACCTGGAAGGAGAGCTTGGCTGGACTACGGGGTGCAATGGGACTCAGGGTGCTCCAGAAGTGAATGCTGGGAGGCAGCGAGCTGGGCGTCAGCAGCACCGGGGTCTGAGGGCGAAGGGGTGGGTGGAGCTCAAGTGAGCAGAGGGCAGGTATGGGAAAAGAGAAGGAACTTGGTCCCAGCCCTACCAGATTTCCCACTCAAGACCCCCAAGGTTGCTCCCCCAAAGTTCACAGACCCAGACCATAACTACCAAGGCCATGCCCTCAATCTCTCTCAAATTCTATAGACACCCCCCTTCCCAACTCCCGAGTCTACTCCCAGGTGCTGGTGCTGGGACCTCATTGGTCAAGACCACCCACAAGACCCTATTCACATGCTTCTCTCAAACCTCTCAAGTCACCATCCCAATAGCTCATGGTCAGCCCCCAACTCTTACGTCCCATCCTTGTACCTCACAGGAAATCCAATAAGCTAATCCCAGACCAAGAAGCCCTGCTCAGATTCCTAAGCCACGCCCTAACCCAGAAACAGTCCCACAGAAAACCTCTCAGCCCCTCAGTTCCACCCACAAAAGTCCCCAGACCTGTCCTTCATCAATCCAGCCCCATCCCTCCAGTCCAAGCCTCAGAACAGCCAATCACACCAGAAGGCTCCACCGTCTTCACTGACAGACACATTCGCCCTTATCTAATTCCTGTCAGTCACTTGCCACGCGCCAAACCCATTAGTCCTGGCTGCCAGCCCCGCCCCTGCGTAGGCACTCACCAACGTGTGTGTAGGCAGTAAGGATGGCGTCAGTGCCGGCCCAGGCGCCTGCAGACTGGAGCCAGTTCCTGACCCTGGAGTCCGTTCGGGTCCTG